AGTATATTCAGGCAGGATGCATAATTCGCTCAACTGTAGTTAAAACAATACGCCATGAGAGGTGGCAGGCACATAATTATGATTGATAAGTGAGCCAGTTTCAACCCCATGCATGCCGTAATTGGGCTCCCCGCATTGTTTTGCCTACCAAAAAAAAAAAAAAAGAAAAAAAATTATGCGAGCATCACCGTTCATTAACCAGTTTTGTTGGCTTTAATACAGATGTGCTACTCAGGTGTAGCTAAGTCAGACGCTTAAGACAAATAATGTGATTGTGAGCGAGTAAACTTGTTCAAGAAACATTTGCCTTTGCAATTGAACTGCTGGCAAGCTGTACTGACATCCACAATAGCAAAAGCAGTTCAGTCATTGTTAACAGTCAACAAATCCATGTTTAACCTCCTCTGAGGGTTAAAAGGTTATTCGACACTTACTCTTCGCATGTCAGAGAAAGTACATTTTATGGTCCTTTCAAATAAAGCCATAAAAATGGTAGGTCACCATAGAAACAAAAAGTTTTCCCATCGCTCCGTCAGACCATGTCTCGAAAATGTCTAAAATCTGCCTCTGCCCATTGACCTTGACCTGTGACCTCCAATTTCGGCACAGTGATGGCTTTTCCTACCACGATGCTCATACACGACTATCACGAGCCTAGTCGAGCCGTTTAGATCTGTGTCGCAAATTCTGCATTTCCTCCTATACCTTAAGTTAAGGAGGGAATGTTCCCCTTCCTTTTACACCTTGACTTTTGACCCCAGCTTCGACATCCCAACTCGTTTCGGATTACCCCCCCACGTCCCGAATACGTGGACCGTACCTCGAGGCGGTTAAGATTTGTGCCCAACTGTTGACGGACGACGCACGGACGGCCGGACGAGACAATCATGCGATTCACAGCTGCATCTGAACTACGTAGATGAGCTTAAAGATTAGATAGACAACAGAGAAGACGACAGAAAGCGTTGTAGCAATATCAAAAATGGTTAGAGATTAACCTCTTTAACCAGACAGCAAGTATCTGCTGCCAGAGAAGAGGGAAGGCCACAAGTTTACTCACCCAGGCTTGGTAAGTAAATAGTGATTTTTGGTGCTTTTACGTGGGTTTTGTTAGACAGTGGGTGTTAATTAAGTAATAGTAATCATGCAGGAGTGTTCCTAAAATGTAACAGTTCGAGTAGGAGGCAGTAGCAGTAAGTATAGACGAGGTAGTAGGCAGTCATTAAAGAAAAATGCCTTGTAAAATTAATCTCTCATCAGTCAGTAGCCTGTCCGTGTCCATCAACGGCTGGAAGGCTGTGAGACTCGGAGTCTGACGCGGCTCTCGAGCGATTTCTCTCTGTCCCACGCCCTCTCCTGCGGGCCATCTGACGACCACCCTGCTTCTGTAGTCGCTGCCCTGTCTCTTCCATCACGGCACACCGGGTCGCTCTTTACGATACTGTCGGGTTGTCGGCGCGTCCAGACGCGCTATCACCATGTAAGCTTTTATCACAGTCTCGGTCACCGCGTGTCATGCAACGCGCGCGATGGATCACCTTTCTCTGCGGCCGATGCGACGCGCGTGCCGATGCTTCACCGGTGACTCGGGCCCCGATACTTATTCAGCGCCACAGGCTCGCATGTCCTGTTATCGCTGGCAGCCGGCATCAACGTTGTGTTGTCACTGGACCCCGGCATTAACGTTCTGTTGTTGCCGGCCCCCTGCATTCAACGCTTTGTTGACGCTGGCCTCTGAATGACGTTCTGGTGTTAGCCCCGGGCATCAATGCTCCGTTGTTGCTGGCCGCCGGCATTACCGTTCCATTGTTGCTGGCCCTGGGCATCAATGCTCCGTTGTTGCTGGGAGTTGGCATTACCGTTCCATTGTTACTAGCCCCGGGCATCAATGCTCCGTTGTTGCTGGCCGCCGGCATTACCGTTCCATTGTTGCTGGCCCTGGGCATCAATGCTCCGTTGTTGCTGGGAGTTGGCATTACCGTTCCATTGTTACTAGCCCCGGGCATCAATGCTCCGTCGTTGCTGGCCGCCGGCATTACCGTTCCATTGTTGCTAGCCCCGGGCATCAATGCTCCGTTGTTGCTGGCCGCCGGCATTACCGTTCCATTGTTGCTAGCCCCGGGCATCAATGCTCCGTTGTTGCTGGCCGCCGGCATTACCGTTCGATTGTTGCTAGCCCCAGGCATCAATGCTCCGTTGTTGCTGGCCGCCAACATTACCGTTCGATTGTTGCTGGCCCCGGGCATCAATGCTCCGTTGTTGCTGGGAGCTGGCATTACCGTCCCATTGCCGCTGGCTTCCGACGTAGTCTGCTGCGAGTCACAAGCGGTGTCCCGCGTGACAGCGGCAGGTGTCGCCGCCGCCGCCGCCGCCGCCGCCGCCGCCGCCTCCCCGGCCCGCTCGCCACTCGCCGCGCACGACGACGACGTCTTCTCCAGGTTCTGCCGCCGCATCAGCTCCTTCTGCTTCAGCCACTTCAGCTTGCGACTCATGTGACCGCTCTCCCGCTCGCCGTCGTCGTCGGCGACGTCGCGCCGGTAGAAGCCGACGCGCGAGTACGTGCCCTCAGCACCACCGCCTCCGCCTCCACACTTCTTATAACGCTCTCGGCCTCGGTCGAGGGCGCCACCGTCGGCACTCGCCGCGTAGGCGGCGGCGGCGGCGGAGCTCTGACCGCCGGCGGCCCTCTGGTACTTGCCGTCGGCGGCGCGCCACGCGTCGTCGCCGCCGCGCAGCCGCGGCGCGTTGTCGTACTCGACCTCGAGGCGATTGCATGCGACCATGTAGCTGCCGACCGGCGGCACCACCTCGCCCGACGTGGCCGACGACTCGCCACACAGCACGTCCGCCGGCGCCAGCGAGAGCTTGTCGCCCGCGCAGAACGGCCCCGTCGGCCTGCGCTGCCGGACGCTGCCATCTTGCCTGCGGCCGCTTTCGCGCCGGTCGACTGGCGAGCAGTCGTCGTCGCTGTCGTCGGACAGCTTCGCCATCCTTCTCCAGTACGTGTACCTGAGCGTACGTACAACACGCGGAAGTAAATTACACTGTACTGCACACACGTATTATGTGTATTATGTAGATGGATAGATAAATAGATAGATAGATAGATAGATAGACATAGATAGATAGATAGATAGATAGATAGATAGATAGATAGATAGATAGATAGATATATGGATAGATAGATAGATAGATAGATAGATATATGGATAGATAGATAGATAGATAGATAGATAGATAGATAGATAGATAGATAGATAGATAGATAGATAGATAGATAGATAGATAGATAGATGATAGATAGATAGATAGATACGACATACATACATACATACATGTATATATGAAAGTGTCAATGACACTGTAGCTCACTTGGGTGTGAAAGAAGAGGGAGGGGATATATAGGAAGCAAGAGTATATATGGGAGAAGTCCTATATAACCATACTAGCTGGGTAGCCGCTGCGCTGGGTAAAATCGTGCGCTACAATTTCATGACTACTAATAATTTGGAGATCATAGACATTGGGTAAAATCGACAATACTAACATTGGCACACACAATCAATATTACAACAGATCTAATAAGATATAAGCGGGAAAACTGTTACGTATATGACATTTATATGACAGCAGAACCCACTTGGACCCGGACTAATGTATATTGGTGTAAATGAGAAGAACGTTAGCTTATACACGCATGTAGACAAATGGGCTTGCACTCTTCATTTGAAACCTCTTCGATAACAATGGTTTGCGTTGTATTGTCTGTGCGAAGCATATGGTAGATTGCTGTGCGTCTCGACTGATTGTAGCTACCACGTACCAGCGTATCCATTGTCAGATCGTGATGAATAAAACGAATTCGGTATATAAGTATGATAGAGACAGGCTGAGTGGGGTCTGCAGTCCTTGGATATTGTCTGTGAATGCTTTGGCGCGCGGAGAGCAATGGCACATTGAAATAAAGGAAATTTTTCTACTGGAAATCAGAAAAGGCATAGCTTTGGAATGTACAAGGGATTCTGAATGTTGCATGAATAAAAAAAAGTCGATTATACGGTTGAGTGTCCGATGCGATCGATTATAATCGAAATCATCGATTATAGTCTCAATTTCGATAATCGATTATCTGAAACAAATAATCGATTATCCAAATACATAAAATAAAAATTGATGTTTTTTTTTTAAATTACTAAATCGCAACATGGACATGTTATTGGTGTCGAAGTAGAAAGTGCATCAGTGTTGTAGTCCAGAGACACTTCATGAATCACTGTTAACATTAAGGTCCTTGTCTGATTGCAGAGCGGTACAAGTGTACTTATAGACCATGGACATAATTGACAGTGTGCTTTTGTTTGTTTGACACTGTCCACAGATGTTATCCGTAGATGGAGATTCTACTCTCCGTATTGCTTTTCTACATTAGGTTGGAGAGGATATTTCATTGGCCAGGCATTAACTCGGCTTACACAGCCTACACTATTAGAACAAACAACTTACTTACTATAATAAGGAAAATGTTTGT